GGGAGGGGAAGGGGGATAGTAGAGGATAGGAAAGGCAGCAGAATACAACAGACACTAGTATGGCAATACGTAAATCAGTGGATGTGTAACCGATGTGATTCTGCAATCTGTATACAGGGTAAAAATGGGAGTTCATAACCCACTTGAATCAAAGTGTGAAATATGATAGGTCAAGAACTATGTAATGTTTTGAACAACCAACAATAATTTTTTTTAAATGTGCACATTTTAAAAACCAAGTGTCCCATGCAAAATTATAACTGCTGAATCAGTGGCAAGAATATGGGAGCAAGGGGTGGGAGGGGCATGAATCTAAACAATAGTAAGGAGGGAAAGGCAATAAACAAGAAGCAGAAACAATGCCCAAAATGAGACAGCAGAAGTTGTCCCAACAAGAGTAATTATAATAAACACAAATTATTTTTGACAGTTATAGGGTATCATCACAGTATGTTAAAAACTATTTAAAATACTACTACCATTAGGTACACATATAATACACACATAAAAACAAAACAGAAAGATCACATGTACACACAAAAGATGAAACCTGTTATACTAAGAAAATATTTAACTACCTCTATGGTATCCAAAAAAAAAAAAAATCATTAGGGATAAAGAAAGCCACCGAGGCCATTTGAGATACAAATTCTAAACTCATTTGTGTATGTACATAAATTAATGTAAAGGAAAAAAATGTTTTCACAATGAAATAATTGTTACACTATCTCTCTTCTATTATTCTCTACCTACATATTGATTTCTTTTATGCATATAGCCAAATTAACATTGAGACTCCACCAATGATGTCAAAAGAAGTTCAAGAAACAAGTTTGAAATTCAGATTTTTAAAAGTTGAACTAATGGTTAAAATCATAAATATTATACAGGTCACATATTTTCTTACTAGCTAAGTACTCTTGGTTGGAGAGAGCAGATAATGCCGCCACCACCACCAAAAAAAAAAAAAAAAGTCTTAAAGTAAGCTGATTTTGGAGCAAGGATGCTTGAGTTTAACCCACTTAAATAGTCATATGATTTAAAATGTAGCTGTATCCTTCTCTAAGTTTCCACATCTCTAAAATGGGAAATAGGAGAAAAATAAAACAGTAGTACTCATATTACTAGGCTGTTAATGAAAAATAATTCACATAAAGTTCATAAAAAATGTTTGACAGTCAGTGCTCAAAAATATCTGATTCATTGGTTAAAGGAACAGCAAAAATTTTTATCCTGATATTCCTCAAAAATAAAATTTAAATAACTGAGAAAGTATTTTAAAATGTAAAAATTTGATATTACCAACCAATAAATTAGACACAAAAGCCATAAATATTTACTGTAGTTGAGGAATTCTTAGAGGCATTTACCTGGGGGTATATATGCCACTCAACTAAAGGACACACAGATTAGTTTTAACCCTGGAAAGCTGTTTCTTATGGAGAAGACAAATCCATAAAGTAAGTAGATAAGTGAATTTTATGAATTTGGAAATACTACAATAAATGGAAAATTCATATAAATCAGAAGCATAAGTAATTTGAAATTTTGTAGCAAAATGAACATAACTATACAACACAATATACTACAATGACTAAAGTCCGTTTAAGACACTATATTTTCCCTAAATCATTATTTAAATGTAGCTCAGTGGTAAAATGCTTGCCTAGTATGCATAAGGCCCTGGGTTCTAATCCCCAGCGGACAAACAAAAAAAGAATCTTCAATAATATGCAGATATGCAATCATATATGTTAAAAACACATCCTCAATAAAGGAACAAAACAAATATATTTAAAAATAGATTTTGCTAAAGAAAACATGTAGTAATAGGAAAAAGTATATACTAATTGTGCAGACAGCTCATCTATCCTACTTTTAGGAATCTACCTCAAAGATAAAACCTCCAATGATACAAAAAATACAAAATGATTTACTACATCATCATACTTTATTGCAAAATACAGGAAACACCCTAAATGCCCATACATAGGAAAGTGGTTGAGCAAACAGTGATCTACCTTTTCAATGGAGTACTCTATCTTTGTAAACAAGAATAAGGTCTGTATAAACTGACATGGTGACGTTACCAGGGTGTATTATTAATTGAAACATTAATTAAAAAGCAGTGGAGAGTGTCCTTCACTAAAGAAATATAAAAAGATATGTAGAAAACATCTGCTCTTTGTGCAAAAGAAATGTTAAACTAGAAACTAAAAACATCAGTTACTTAAAATGGGTAAGTAGGGGTTTAACAGAGAGAAGCTGGGAATGGGAAGGAGGGAGGTGGAATTGAAGAGAGAGAAGAAAACAGGGAAGGGAGTGGCACTTTTCTTAAGTATGCCTTTCCATACAACTCTCAACTCTTGAGAACCAAACTTAATGTTCCCATTCCTTTACAGACACCCCCTCCCCAATAAACCATTCAAAACAACCAGGATATGCAGAGAAGCCTCAATGGAATTCAGAGTGACAAACTAGCTGTAGTACAAATGAATGACAATTACAATGAAGAGAGTGGACAAGAATGAGCCTGTGTAACTTTGGAAACAGTTTCTCCACATAATATAAGGCTACCACAAAAAGAACTATACTTAAATAGTGTAATGTACTTAATAAATGTATTTCTCCTATGGGTACAAATTAGTATTTCCAAACTAATGAGTATTACACTCAAAAACCAATAAATACATTTAGATAAGAGCCAAGGTTTATCCATATTGGAGAAAAGAAGTCACAAACAAGGAAAAATTTGAAAACTTAAGTCCTATGGTAGTTAAAATCAAGTATCAGTATAAGCTCATGGTTTTTAATATAATTAAACATACAAAAGTGTGTGTTGGTAAGTATACACATAAATTTCTCTCATCTGAAAAGGACAAGAAGCAATGACAGCTCAGTGACAGTAAATACATGAACAGATGTTGGTTGGTTTCTAAGCCCCATTGTCCAATAAAAAGAACCCTTTCCCTGGAGAAGTGGTTGATTCCAGTGCTGGGACAAGTAAATATATAAGCAGAGCCTGTAAAATTTTTGGTGTTAAAGGGTAAGAAAGTATTCAAAAAAAAAAAAAAAAGAAAAGAAAAAAAGAACTTGTTGAATGAACTTCTAAGCCAACCGCAAAGGAGTTCCTAATGGCCAAAGATAGAACAAACTAAGCTGCATAACAATGATAGTTTTGAATTTTAATCCACAGAATAAAATAAATATCCAGGAGTCCATACTGATATAAAAATTAAATTAACAGGGTATGGGTGGAGGCACTGTTTAGAACAAAGAATTCCAAAAAACAAATGTAGAAGGAAAGGAGAAAACAGAAAATCACCATTAGGAAAATACAACAGTGCTGTTACAGATAAGACCCAACAATAGATGCCAAAATTCGTGGGCTCCACATTGAGAAAAAAAAGATTTACACATCTTAAATTATCTCCCCTGAGATATTAACTATAAAGGAAAAGATATAAACTTTACAGCAGAGATACCTCCTGACAGAGCTCCACTGACAACATCTTCTCTCAGGGGCACTTGACCACTGAGCCATTTCCCTACCCTATTTTGTATTTTATTTAGAGACAGGGTCTCAGTGAGTTGCTGTGACTCGCTTTTGCTGAGGCTGGCTTTGAACTCTCATTCTCCAACTTCAGCCTCTGGAGCCATTGGGATTACAGGTGTGCGCCACTCAGCCCATGACAGACATCATCTTAACAGAGTGATTACAGTTCACAATTTGAAGTAAAGATTTCTTGAAATGACACAGCAGAAGGTATCTCTAACAAGAACCTCTTGATATGATGTGTATCTATAGTAATCTTGTCAAAAATGCAAAACTTCAATCTAATCATTTGAGTATATTAAAAAAAACTGAGGAACATTCTACAATCAGTACTCTTCAAAAATGTCAAGTAAAAACTGAGGAACTGTCAGAGATCAGGGGAGACTAAGGAACAATAATAATTAAAGTTAGGGTACTATACAGGATTCTGGAAGGAACATTAGTGGAAAAGTTGGTTAAATTCAAATAAGATAAGCAGTTTGTAGAATTACACCAATATAAATTTCCTAGTTTTGATCATTGTAGAAACATTGTATGTTATAATGTTGGGGGAAGCTGGCATACAGGAAATCTCTGTACTGTTTGGTATAATTTTTGGTGGTAGCATTAAAATTATTTCAAAGTAAAGGTGAAAAAAAGAGTGTTTTGGTCTGCTGCTCTGTTTTACAGTGGTTTAAAGCAGAACCTTTAAGACCAGCTTCATTTTGTCCCAAGGAAATTTGAATTTAATAACTTCAAGCTATAATGTAAAACTTTGCTATAAGATTGAAATTATGAAATGGGGCAACACTATTTCATATGGTCTTGAGCAGAACATACAAAAAATATGTTATCAAACACTTGTTGTTGTTTCTACTACCATATTCTATGAAAGAAAAAATTATTTGAAGGAAGTAACAGACTATATAAACAGCAGGCTCAAAATGAAGTTCATAAACATGAAAAAATATTTAATGACAATACTCTTGAAATTATACATCTCTAAATACCACCACAGTCCTACAATAAAGTTTGTTTTAACCAGGGGCAGGGAGTGGGTGTTAGCACAGAAAGGTTCACTTAAATAGCAATTGAGAAAGAAAGGGAGAACTCCTTTGTGAGTGGTTTGCACTATTTGGTTTATGAACAGGGTGAACTGAAAGAAAACCTGTTTTTAACTACAAAACATACAGCTGATCAGAACTCACTAAAGAACAAATTTTCTACATTTTTAGGTGATCTTTCAAAATCAGTTCTCTGTTCTAAATGATCTATTAATTACTGGGGATTCAAGCTCACCCCTTTATCATTAAAATACATATTCATAAAACTTTTTACAGTTGTGCTGTTCTAGTTACAAATAGCTTCTACTTTTCTAGGACATAATTTCACTTTGTTTAAGCAAGAATTCATTAAAGAAGCTATAAATAACCCTTAAATATTTAGCCATGAATAGAGGGTGGACTGGCATTGATGGCTTATTTTAGTTCTAATGCAGAATGCTTTTTAAAAGCTACATTTTAGCATGCATCAAGCTAATTATTAACACTTGCAGTATAATTTTCAATGTTAGACTAAATTTATCTTTAAGGAATTTTACTACAAAAGTAACAAAGTAAAAATGTTATCTAGTTATTTACTAGTAGTAAAGTAGGCTTAAAGAATGAAAATGTTGGAAAGATTAAAACATAAGAAAATTTTATTTGAAAAATTCATTCATTCATTCATTTTTTTTTTTAAAGCATCTAGACAAACTTTCCTTCTCTCCCAAAGGTAAATCCCAGTGAAAACTATACAGAAAGGGGAGAAGTAGTTCCTATGGAATTGTAAGAATTCAAGAATCTGTTGTGTGGTATATACACATAAGAATCAAAGACATATTTCCATATTCAGTGCTAAATCATAAAGTTCGCAATATTTTAGAAACCAAGTTTCATAAAATTTTTACTTGAAAAGAAATACTTTACAAAATATCATTCTTCCAGTCAAAGAAACTTTTCCATGGGATACATGTAGCTTTCTGTCTTAAAGATTACAGTATGACATTAAAAGGGAAGAGGTTTTTGTTTGTTTGTTTTTCTTTCTTTCTTTCTTTTAAATAGCCACCTAGCTTACAAAACCTATGAGGGAAGTAGATTTTTTTTAAAGTGCCTTTAAAATGCAAAAGCAAGTAATATAATTGTTGAATCTATTTGATATCTTAAAAGATTCTTTTAAATGGTCCATATGGTACACACAACATCACAGCTGGTACAAAACTGCTTGTATTTAGTTTAAAACACAAAAGCAATGCATATGAACTGTGTTCTTTGAAAAATAATTCAAAATTGTAAGGCCAACTTAGTAGTCAGAGAACTAACAAAACAAGCTGAATATTAATGTATTCAAACATTTACTATGATTTTTGTAATATCACTGATAAGAGAACTTGCTACCAAACTAACTCAAAACACCTTATTTCAAACTACATGTAACATATTTTGCTTATACATTCTAAAAATGCACAACTAGATTTTAGGATATAAACTCCCATTTCCTAGTTTTTTTGTTGCAATCTGGCAGCTTTGAACTTTGAAACCCTTTTTGCAGGTTCTTCTGATACTTCTGACAGAATTTCTTTTCGTTCCGGAATGGTAGGTAGTACAGGATGAGCAATGGCTGGGTGTGGTGTTAAAGAGCATAAAAATTCTTTTTCTATTACAGTTCCAGAAAAAGCCTAAAAGACAAAAAGTCAGATTCATGGTAATAAACCTATAAATAAGATGCCATAAAATCTTTACTTTATTCACCAATTAGACATTTATTCTCACTAAAAGTAAATTCACAAGATTTTGGGAAATATAATATTTTAACATCAGAATATGAATTGTTCAGAGAGAAACTGAGTACCATTAAACTTTTCCTACTTACACCACCAAAATATAATTTTTATAGTACACATGTAAGAAACAATATGCAAAATGCCTATTTTGTCTGGGAAAAAACAAAAATGATAAATAAAGGGGCCCTAAGCTTTTACATTCTATTATGTCTAGATCTAACTGTGAAACAATATGTATTTAAATTAAAAAAGATATTAGGGTGTCAAATGCAGACTCTGGTGCATCAGTTGGTACATGATCTCTGGAGGCCATGCTGCCCGCTAGCCAATATCTTATGTTTTTTTAATTGTTGATAGACATTTATTTTATTTATTTATTTTTATGTGGTGCTGAGGATCGAATCCAGTGACTCACATATGCTAGGCAAGCGCTCTACCACTGAGCCACAACCCTAGCCCGAGGAATTGTTTTTAAGATTTCTGGTATTTTAAACCTCTCTCATTACATTTTCTAAAAACTTAAGTACAAACTAAAATTTGACATGTAAACTTTCATACATATTTTGCTTCTCTTTGTCTATCAAATGTTCAAAATTAGTTAAGACAACAGTTGAAAAGCCACGATCCTCCACCCTACTCCATCACTTAAACAAGAAATGCTACCTTCTTCCCAAAATATTTGGGGAGTATAGCTCTTAAAAACAGTCCAAAGCTTACTTTTCTAGAAACTCCATTTTATTATGCTGAGCACAGTCTTCATATCATCTTTAAAACACTTCTGAAAGACCCAATCGTTTGGTATTTAAAAGATACTGAGAATGATTTTTAATACTACTGCTATAATCACAAACTATTCATTTTGATGTTAAGAATTTATTTTTTAACATAAAACAGCTATTATAACAGCTATTCTAATAATTCAATATAAAATACAAAGCTCATAGGGTGAAAATAAGTTCCATATTCTAACTCTAGTTATACTATGATACTTTAAAGTTCTTACAAAAATCAAATTTTCAAGCTTTTATTGGCAAAAGTCTATTACCTGTTTTCTAACAGTCATTATCGCAGACTATTAAATAAGATATTTTCTGGGTCACATAAGATCATTCTACTGGGGGAAGAGGAGACCAATCTAGTTTTATGTATGGTCCTCTAAATGCTAACAATCTCTATCCACAATTACCTTTTAGCGTATTTGGTACAAGCAGAACTATAGAGTATAAGCAAAGACATTTTTACAAATAAACTTATATATAAATATATTTTTACATGTGTCTGATGTATATATAAATGTGTACATTGGTTTGGTACAGGTATGAGTTTTCCAGTCTTCCTAAATACTTTATAAATTGAAAGCTTTAAATACTCATCAAAACAAGAATAAAAATATCAAATCTGGGTACAATGGAAACTATACCATAATATTTCATTGATAGGAATTCTTATTTCAGTATTTCTCAACCTGTCTTCCACTTCTACATAACTGTATGCAACATGGTGGGCAAAACATGAGTGTGCCCCAATTTTTCTGATGGTTCCATTAGATTGGAAAATGATCCCATAACCAGTCAAGTTTTGTTTCACTGGAACAGGCCAAAACATAGAAAAATTATTTACATTTTTCTTCAACTCCACCAAGGCACTTGGTGCCTTCATCAATGCACCAAGGCACTTCTACTCAAGCTAACAGAAAATGACTATAGTCTGGTCCACTGGTAATTTATTTAATATAAACAGCTAAATGATTTTCTAGCTAAAAGTTATACCACATGTGCCACTTCAGATATTTTTAAATTGCCACTGTACCAAAATAAAACTTCAAAACAGGTATTTCACTAAAACAAATTTTTGAACTATTCTAATACCACAATTGTGTTTGCTAGTGACTATTTTTAACAAATTATTATCCAAAAAGTACAAATCTAAGACTAATTAGATCCTATAACTTTTCCAACTAAATAGTAAAAATTGCAAAGATACTATAGAAATAGAGATACACACCTCAGATGTTCCTGATAATGGCAAAAGTTTCTTTTGATGATTTTCTTGTTGTGGGTCTTCTTCTAAAATGCTTTCACTGGTGTCACTACAAGTAGCTTCTTCACAGCTAATACTCCTCAAAACTCCCCGCCTATCATCAAATTCAGCAGCACTGCTTTCACTGGTATCACTACAAACACTGTTTTCTCTGCTTCGAGATTTCAGGATAGATTTACGAGGAACATATTCTCCGTTCACAACATCAACAAAGACTCTATATTGAAAAAATACACACACCTTAAATCATAAAACAAAGTAATTTTACAAGAAATTTTTTAAACCTCAAAATTAATCTGAAACTTTTTGTTGGAAAGTTTCCATCTAAAATATTTACATTCAAAGTAATTTCACAGCTTTAAATAATATATTTTTGGAAGACATGACTTTTTGGTCTAACAAAATATAGCATGTTAATTATAAACATATTGTAGGTGATAACATCTAGGTGATCTGCAAAAATTCTATGTAGTTTTATACCCACTAATAAGACATTTTGCAATTTTCACTATTTTACAAACATGTCAAAAATAGTTAAGCAGTTTCAAATGATAACTTTTTCAACAAATACCACAACAAAAAACTGAAAAGGAAAACTACATGTCAAGCATATTATAACTATAGTAGGAAAGAAAGTATTATCCTAGCCCATTGTAATTAGCTTTCATTTGTAAACTTAAGATGAAAGACTTTTTGCCTAGACCAGTTGGGAATGTTTCAAAGACACTAGTGAAGAAAAGAAAATGAAAAAATAACCATACAAAGTTCCAACTGCTTTGGACTGGGCTGTTGCAGTGGTGCTTTTCAAATGCTAAGCTAACTTCATCAGAACACTTAATATTTCAGAATCTTCTGGATTACAAACAATCTTTTCCTATAAAAGTCCAGTTAGAAAAAAAGGAATCTGCAGATTACACTGCAGTCTGTGACAGATATTACTCACCTGTAAATGTCAGCAGGAGTCCTGATTGTAGGCAGCTCTTGAGCAGAATGACCACTTCCAGCGTTGTTCTTTCGTTTACGTTTGGCTTCTTCTTTCTTTTCACTGAATTTTAAAGTGGTATTTTTTCCAGTATTTATTCGAACCTAAAAATTTCACAACAAAAAAATTAAAAATCTCTTGGGAAATTAAATCAAGAACCAAAATGAAATATAAATTCTATATTTAAAGAAGAGATAGAGCTAAAATTCTTCATTACTGAAATAATATGCATTATCAGGTAGGGTAAAGAAGTCCTTATCATATTTCTATAATGCTAAAAATTATATTTTCTTTAGTGACTTATTGTAGTCGTGGTTTTTTTTTATTATATAGAAAGCAAAAAACATTTAAACTAAATGCTAGATTTATCTTAAACTTCACTTCACCTCACTCCATTACTTTGGTATAAGTTTTAGACTTAAATCATACATTTCAAAACAAAGGCACAATTAACCAAAAGAAAAATTCAGTAAGACTATAACATTTAAGCCATAAAGTAATATCAGATAATGTTTAAGTATTCCAAAAAATTTTAAACATTTTTAATTTTAGAAACTGAAGATCTGAACACTAAAAACTAATCCTGTTCAGGATTATAATACTTAGCATTAAGGCCAAATTTTCTATGTTAGTAACTGTTCTTTCCCATAACATTCCTACAAATATTATTTATTCTTCCTGTTTCATCTAAATGGAAATAAGAAAACGTAAAAGCATCACAAAACTTTTTTCTAGCTAATCATTCCTGTCAAATTTTCCCAAAGAATTCCAATGATCCCTTTAGTTTGATGTATTAGAATATGTGTGTATATGTGTGTAAATCGTACACGTGCGCACACACACACACATATAATTATTTCACTTCCTATTAGAACAAGGATAACTTAAGAAACCTAAAATGTATGAAGTATGGTTATTCATCACAGGCACTTAACAATGAACCATAGTTCTGAACTCTGAAAAGGAAAACTACATGTCAAGCATATTATAACTATAGTAGGAAAGACTTTTTGCAAGATTTTTTTACAGGCATGCAAGTACCATGGGTCAAAGGCACATTTGATTTATTACCATCTCTATGTCTTGTAGACCTGAAGATTTCCTGAATTAGAAAGATGAATTCCTGGAGGTACCTTATACACTACATGAGCACAGAGAGGGCAGAGGTATACTTAAGGTAGCCCATGCGTCCTTCAACCAAAGTCAGCCTGCTTTGATCTATTTTAAATACTGAAATTCTACAAAAATTATGGAAGAAATAAAAAGGCTTTTGATACAAAAGATAAATCTGAAAACCTGGATTAAAAGATCTCTACAATCATCTCCAGCCCTAAAATGCCCAAATTCTAAACATATCATATACAGATGTTTATGTTTGTTAGAAAAGGAAGAATTGACTTTCTCCTAAATTTTTCCTTTTTGTCCATGATGTTCTTATTCATTGATTGCTGACACAGAAAACAAAAACCTGACATAATAGAAAATTAAACTAATATAGTCACTCCCAACATACTAAACATACCAAAATGCCCACAATATAATTAACTACAGAGTTCTTAAGAAAACTCTCTGTAGTAAGGACAGGTGGAGCCACAGTAGCTTCAATTTAAATATGACTCCCTTCCAGATCCCAGCTCAAATTACATTGTAGCTTCTCTGAACTATGGACCAATACTAGTTAACTAATTAGAATATCCCCCCCTTTTTTTTTCTTTTAAGATAAATTGGTCAGATTAAGAGGCAAAAGATGATTTTTCTATTTGTCAGTATCAATATTCATCACTGTTACTTTCCTCTTAAAAAATATCATAGATGGTATTTAATGTTCAAATTAAATGAAAAATTAGTAAAGTTAAAAGAATACAAACCCTCTTAGGTTCAACAGTATGAGAAAAATATATTGTTGGTACAGAATTATCTCCAATCCCTAAAGCATTATGGTCATTTTCATTATAACCATCATCACTGTTGTCTTCATCATCTTCTTCATTACTGTGACAAGAACTTGAACCATTTACTGAACAGTTCAACTGACTATTCACTTGTCCATTGAATTGTTCTGAATGTGTAACATCCTTATGATAACTGCTGGGAGTAAGGGAGTTTGTTTCTTGATGTATCACATTCACATTTGTGTTTTGATCTTCCTTCTCCTCTTCAGAAGAGGTTGTGTCTTCTCCATTTGCAATCACAGCATCAGGCTTACTAGTAAAAAAAAAAAAAAAAAAAAGAGAGAATATTAATAAAATAAAACAAAAACACTCGAATTTTACCTATTCGAATTTTCATCTTATTTCAGTGGGTTAAAAGATTTTTTTTCTTTAAATATTTATTTTTTAGTTGTAGTTGGATACAATACCTTAATTTTATTTATTTATTTTTATGTGGTGCTGAGGATTAAACCCAGTGCCTTGCACGTGCTAGGCGAGTACTCTACCACTGAGCCAGAACCCCAGTCCTGGGTTACAAGATTTTGAATAAAGTATTTTTTTTAAACTAGAATTCTAGGTTAAAAAAAGGATAAAAATATTTTTATGTGAATTAAAAAAAAATTAGTTTCTATGTCATTTCTGTACATTGTATTTTTCACACATAAGTAGAATATAAAGTTTAATTTTATCTTTGAATTTTGGCCAAAAATATAAATATAATATCAATAGTACAACAAGAGATTCAAAGAATATGTATTTCTATTAAAGTAGATGTTAATGCAACATAATTGTGTCTTTATTTTCTTTTTCTATCCTCAAGATATTTTAAAATAATACAATAATGTATTATTGTAATTTTAAGAGAGAAAATACATATACATATGCACATGAATATACTTACATTTATACAAATGAAAATACACTTATCATGCTTCATTCTATAAAGGAGTTGAGGACCTTATAAAAATAACAAAACCAAAAATGCAATAGAACTGAAATAACATCATGCAAAAATAGAAAGAGAATCATGACTAAGAAAATCAGAAGATCCAATACTGGTTTTAAAAAGTGAAATAGTACCAGTTAATCAAAAAAAAGACCTAAGAATTTATAGGTGAAATAGTACGGGCAGAATCTTTTGTGTTTCTTGTCTTATTTTTCACAGAAACTAATTACTGCATATGGTACATCATTTAAGCAAAATAGTATAGGAACTTCGATAGTAGCAGACTTCATTTAGCATTTTGAGAATTCTAAGTAAGTGCTAATGTGTATTACAAATAGCAGTTTAGTAAAGTTTCTCATACATAAAACTACCTGATCAGATTACAAACTGCCTATTCAATAAACAAAAAAGTTTGCAAATGGAAGGCAAGGATAAACACTTAATAATTTCAAGTTAAAATTCAAAGCAAACTTTTTTACTTTTTAGTAGTTGTAGATGGACAAAATGCCTTTATTTTATTTGTTTATTTTTATGTTGTGCTGAGGATTGAAGCCAGTTCCTCACACATGCTAGGCAAGTGCTCTGCCACTGAGCTACAGCCTCAGCCCCAAACTTTTCTTTTTAAAAAGTCAAAGATAAAACATCTTGGAGTACAGCATAAAAATACTTCATTAAATTTAATATTTAATGCATCCATAATTATTAAAAATCGACTGTTATAATTACTTCATTATACAAAATATAGCTCAACTCTTAAAAGAAGAAAATGGAGATGTTTATCTTAAGCATGTACATGCACATGCATGAGAATGTACATAAGTGTACATAAGCACACAGTCCTAAAAAAGTACTCTAGAGAATTAATATTTATTTTTGGGGGGAAAGATTATTGATAATTTATTATACCTTTCTGCATAAAAACAAATTTATTTTGGAAAGTTTATTTATTATTAGATACCTATCAAGTTCACCCAGCAATTCTTCTTGTCTCTCTAGTTCTTCCAGTCGAGCCCACAGTTCCTTATCAGCAAGCAAATCCTCAGATTTTACTTCATTTGCAAAATTTGCTTCAAAAATATTTGAAGTTTTTGGTTTGGAATGAGGTTTATGAGCAATTCGTTGTTTGGCTATTTTAAAAAAGAAAAGACATGAGTGTTAACAGTTAATCTTAAAAAAAACACAAACCTAGACTTAGTTTTGATTTTTTTTAAGAGCAAACGGCCTATTGAGACACAGCGAGTACATGACTTTTACACCCAACAGAGCTATAAAGACGCTTGTCTCTTACAGCCTTGCTACTCAAAATGTAGTCCATGGACCAGCAGCACAGGCATCCCTGGAGAACATTTCAGAAGTGTAGACTCTCGTAGTCTCCCAAACCTGCTGAATCATAATCTATATCTCAACAAGGGCCCCAGAGAACATACATGTATATTAAAAGTTGTTAAAGAGCTGCTCCAGAGATTCAAAATGTGTAAGTAGAAACAGTCAAGATGCATCCGGTTATAATGCAAAATTCAACACAAGTAATATTATCCACATATCATCCTAACTTACAGAGAATTTACTTACTAATGTAACAGGTAAAAACCTTGAAAGTGGATACTTTAAACTCAAAGGCATAGCTAAGAATGACTGTCCTAGAAAGAAATGATAGAAGCTAATCTCTGGAAAGTTCCATTATAATTTTACACATAAACATCTCTGCTATTTAAATTGCTTAATTTTATTTGTAATCCTCATCTGAGGGCAGGGGTGAATCCAATCTGAACTTAAACCTATCTGCTTTTCACTTTAAAAAAAGATCTTTCTTAATAGAGCCTGTTGAAGCTTTGAAGAAAGTAATGGGAAATGTAAAGTACTGTCTTTTATGAGATATGATACTACTAGTTGACCGTCCAATTCATCATATATTCAAATTTATAGCACTGTTTTCTGAATTTGAAAATATCCAAATTACATTTAATACTTTTCTCTTTATTGATAAAACAGTAATAATGGTTTTTATGTTTCAGACTTGCAGCAAAATTTCTCACTTGTCATTCCAAATAATTTGACTTTCTGAGCTTTAATATATGTTTCCTTTATTTCACCTTCTAAGGCCACTGCCACTTCCTATTACTTGTGATGCCACTTCAGTATAGATATTATGGCTAGTATATGGCCTCTAAAAGTATCTCTACTTTCAACTAATTAATTTTTTTTCCAGAGGAAATTACCAAAATATAAACTCTAAAAGTCAAAATAAATGTTAAAAGTAACAGGATTTTATTTATATATGGCAGCAGAATGCATTACAATTCTTATTACAGTTTTTTATAGAAGCAAATTATAAACCATTTCTGTAATACTTTAAAAAAATTCATTATTGCATTACTTTACAACCAACAAAAGAGCCACTGCCTTTATAAGAAGTAAACCCAAACATACAACCCATCCCTGGCAAAATAAAACTATTGGATAAACCTGGGAACAACCTGTGTATTGAAAATCACTGCAGACACCATAAAAGAAATGGCTAAAACATACTAATATTCATTCTTCCTTCCAAAAAAACAGAATCTAAAGCAGCAGTTTTTTAAAAGGAGAAAAACCAGCAAAAGATATTTTATTCTTGGCAAAGATAAAAAAACAATTAGAAGCAAATCCATGTTTAGAACTCACATCTTTTATAGGTTTGGGTCATTAGAGAACTTTGGGGAGGCGGGGGGAAGCTATGTGATCCCACCACTTAACAACATCATCTAGAAATCAAGTTCTTAATCAAGTTATTTATTCTTATCCCTTAATTTTTAAATAAAAATTCATAGATAAATAGAACAAATGTTTGTTATCTCATAAATTTAAAAATGTATATTATGCCGAATATCTCACAAAAAACCCTTAAGAATCAACAATATAAATACCTAAATAATTTTACATAACAATATCATTGCTTACCTTTAAACTCAAAGTCACTTTTAATTTCTTCTCTTATATCAACAATATCACCTGCAGCCTAAAATTTTAAGCAAAAGAAAAATTATGTTAACAATACAAATCTCTAACACATAAAATTACTATAAAAGCAATCATACCAACTAAGAAAGATGTCTGAAAGCATTTGAAACATCAATTCATTCATTCCTTGGTTCTAAGATATTACAATACAAAAAAAAAATTTCTTTGAAAATATTTTCTAAAAAATGTGAGACTAAAAATAAATACCCACATCACTCATTTTCTGCAAATCTTCTGTGAATTCAACTCTGGATTCAAAATTTTTCATCACTTTTTTTAAATCATCTATTGTTTTTCTTACAT